CACACACACACACACACACACACACACACACACACACACACACACACACACACACACACAATCAATCAATCAATCAATCAATCAAATCAAATTAAATCAATCAATCAATCAATCAATCAATCAATCAATCAAATCAAATCAATCAATCAATCAATCAATCAATCAATCGATCACTCAATCAATCAAACCCTTTTTTTGTTGATTTGTTTTAAATTTTTGCATCTTCATTTTTTTAAACACCTAATTCCCCTACAACAAACCGAAAATCATTTCTAAAAAAATACAGAACAACTCAGGGACCATATCCCTCATGATAAAAAATGCCAAAAAAAGATTCCAACTTTGCTTTTTATTTTTTTTTAAATATTTTGTTTAAATCGAGTTTCGTTTTTCATTTTTAAAAAATCTTAAACGAAGTCCGATTCCAAAATAAAAAAACATAGGATTGTAGGGTTTTCCAAGCCCTACAATGCCTACACCCCTATATGTTTTTATTTTTTTTTTTACTTATTTTTTGGTGAAAAAACAAAATGTTGGAAAAACAGGCCACGGACTGGGCCTCGTCGGCCACGGCCGCGGATGACTTTTTCGGCCGCAGCGGCCGAATTGCCCGTGGCCTAGGCCACGGGTGTCACATAGGTGGCTTGTCCATCCGCTCCGTCTACTCCAGGCGTCTGCATCCCGTCCCGCATAAATGTCGTCCGCTTGTGGTGTCTCCAGTACAGGATCCCGCCGCACCTGCTACACAACGAGCACAACCACGTGGGACGCCTTCCAACTTCTGGCCTGCTTGCCGTGGACATCTCTTGCCTCCTCGCAGGGGACTTCTTCAAGGTCGTGGAGGATCACCGCCGACGCTCTTCTCGCTTTCTCGTCACGTGGAGATTCAGCGTCATCACTCTCCTCGCGTTGTCACCGCAGAGCTTTGTCGCCACGTGGATGTTAGGCGACTGAGGTCTTTGGGGCACTCTAGGGCGGAGCACTCTCGCCTTATTGTCGAGGAGTTGTTTCACCGCGTGGAGGTTCGGCGCTGTCGCTCTTCTCTTCTTCTCGCCGCGGAGCAGTCTCGTCGGGGTTGTTGTCCTCCTCTCGTACACGTGGACATCCTGTGCAGTTGTGCGTCGAGGACAATTCTTCTTCGTTGTCGCAGACGCTGTGCCCGCCACACGCGATCGGTAAGGGAGACACTGTTCTCATCAGATCGGTGGGACTTCAATCTCTGCTCGACCTTTTATTCTCGCTCATCCGATCCGACCGCCAACCTCGCTTGGAGAGGGAAGCACGAAGCATGTCTACGTAAGCCGGCACCCGTGGTAAGAAGTGGGACATCGTACACTCAAGAGCGGGAAAGGGGTCGACGACATGTCCCCAAGGCGAAGAGGTTCATTCGGACGCTGCTTCAGGAAGAGTGCCTCCTCGTCGACCACAAGGTTGGGCGACAGCAGCGGAAGGCGACGACAACGACATCTTCACGACGGAGGAAGAAATGGTGGAGGCGACCATGTCTGCAGTGCGGGAGGGTGGTCGCCAACATTCTTCTGATCAAAGTGTTGTGAAGAGGATGCAGACGCCTCCACCCGAGGCGCAACACGTGTGTGCCCGCGAAACGCAGACAGAGGAGGTCGTCGTTGATCTCAGCGGCGATGATGACGAGCCGTTGGAATGACATCGTCAGTGAAATGTCACACAAGGCACCACAGCGACGACAGTGAGGGCATGCGGCGCCACAGACGAAAGACCACCTTCGGGTAGACTGCCTGCCACACCGTCTCAGCCGCGTCCGCGCACCCCACCCGATGAGGGAGGCTCCATCGAACGTGGCGGCGGGGGGGAAGTCCTGGCAGACGCGGACGTAGTTGGGGGCGAGGTAGTCGGTGCTGCGGGTGCCTATGTTGCATGCTGGCCGCGGCTGAGTTCGGCCCAGGCCGCTAGGCCGGCCCCCCCCCGGCCGCGGCCGGCCCGGCCGAGTTTTTTCGGTCGTGGTGTCGGCCGATCTGGGGGGCGGTTTTGGGAGCCGGGTGCGGGTTTGGGGTGGGGGGTGGGGGGGCACCCCCTCAAAATGACAGGGCGTCAAAAAAACAACAACCGGGGGGGCCCTGCACAAGACCCTGGAAGGGTGGCCTGCGAAAAATCCAGCGGCCCCCATGTGCAGGTTCGTCGATGCGGGGTCGCAGGGAGGAGGGTCTGGAAGGGTGGAAAAAAAAAAAAAAAAAGTATTTGACCCCTGCGGGGGCGGCCAAACGTGGGTTGGATGAGGGCCTGGTTGGGGCGGGCCGTGCGGCCAGGCCGGGTCGAAGCTAGACGGGGCTGCAGATTACAGACCCCAGGCGGATCACGGCCTCACGCACTGAAAGGCAGACGTCGGTTTCATTAATGAGGGCGATGACAGTTCGTCGCTTATTTTAAAACAACACATTCATGGCAATCATAAGTCAGACCCTGTTTGGCATACCAATGTCAAAACACATTGGAAATCAATCACAGTGCGGCGAACCACAAGTTTCAAACAATGATAACAGGCAAGTATGTCATAGTGCGTGTTCACTCATGAGGCTGATGGACATTCATTAGCACATCATTTATATAAGAACACATTCATTAGCACATCATCCCTATGTCGCATATGAAATTAACAGCACATTCATAATGGAGGCATCCATGACATGCAGGTGTGTGGCATCGGAGAAACACATAATTTGCAACAATCACAACAACAGAGCAGAAAACAATCACCAAACAACGGCGACTCAAATGCAAGACCAATGTTGGTGGAGGAACAAGAACAAGAGCAAATATATGACAAAGCATTTCAATGGAAATGCGTATGTACAAGGCTGAAGCCAAAAACTGGACCCGTAGTCTCTTCTACACAATAGAGTAGCAAAAAAAAAACTGGACCCGTCGACGGGCGTCGTCTCTACTGTACAACCGAGTAGGAAAAAAAAAAAGAAAACCCTAATGTCCACATCGTCTCTAATGAAAACCGAGTACGAAAAAAAATAAATGAAAACCCTAATGTACAACCGAGTACGAAAAAAAACTGGACCCATCGTCTCTGCTACACAACAGAGTACCAAAAAAAAATTGGACCCGTCGTCGGGCGTCGTCTGTATTGTACAACCGAGTAGCAAAAAAACACCACGGACGTCGTCATCTCCCACCTGAGCACGGGCGGCCTCTCCCTGAGGACGTGCGGCCATGCGCTCCTCCCCGGCGCCCTCCTCTCCCTCCGGCACCTGTGCCCCGTGCCCCACTGACGTATGCCGCATGTGTTGCAGCGGCCGCCGAGGCCACCTGTGCCCTGTGTCTGCGGGCCGCAGTCTCGATCGACTCGGACTCAGTGTCTGCGTCCTCGTCCTCCTCCGCCTGTGCAGCAATCCCCCTCTCTCTCTCCCTCTGAATCGCGTCCAACGCTGCCTGCCCAGCGGCGACCCCTGCAGCGAGTCGAGCCTCAACCTCTGAGAGGCCATGCTGTTGTCTCGTCCCGAGACGCATCAACAACCCCTCCTCGCCCGATGTGAACTGCTCTCCCCGCAGCCTGTCCGTGGATGTCCCTGGGGCCTCGAGGACCAATGTCCTCCTCGTCTCCGCTCGTGACAAACCAAGCATGCGGCCTGCCATCTGCAGGCTCGGACGTCCGGACCCGCCCTCTGCAGCCTGCGTCTGAACAGGCGCACGTCCCGTGAAGACGCCCCTCCCGACGTCGTAATCCGCCCGCAACCGGTCCCCGACCCGACGAACAGCTCACCATCCGCCACCCACACCTCCTCAGACCGGCTGCGGGGAACCGCCACTGTGCGCAACTCCGGGTGCCACCGTCCGATCCCCAGTGTCGACCCTGCCCTCCGGAGTCCATGCGGGTGGTGAAGGCATCGATCCGGCACTATCTCTGCCACCGTCGCTGCGTCTGCCGGACCCCACCTCACCCGCACCGGACTCCCTCCCTCTAACGCCGCTGAGCGACGAACCCGACCAGTGAGGGCTCTGGACTGTGAACAGCGGCAGTGAATATACCCTCCTTGGGGTCCGCTGCTTGCCGCTCTTGCGGCTCAGGTGTGCGAAAGGGTCATCCGTCAACGCATGCGCCAAAGCGTCGGCGTCGGCGTCGAAGAAAGTGTGCGCTGTGCCGTCCGGGCGCATGGGAGGCACTGTGGGGTCCCTCGAAATCAAGGCGAGCCTATACGGATCGTCCTCCGAACCGTGGTCGTCATCATCGTCGCCGTCCGGTCCATCGTCTCCACCGACACCCGCGGTATCCCCATCTCCACCGGGTCCACCCTCTCCTCTGCCGCTCACTGCGGCACCATGTCCCTCATCACCTGCGGTCTCGCTGTCGCCACGGCCCCCACTAGGGGACCCACCGCCCATGACAACATCCTGCCCCTCAGGGACACCCGCTGCGGCATCCTGCCCCTCATAATCGAACTCCCCCTGAACCGCCTTCTCAAGGACACCCAAGTCGTCGACGTCATGGCTCTCCTCCCCTCCTGTCTCCAAGTCCCTCTGCCGACGCTGCTCGTCGAGATACGCGAACCGACCCTCCCACTGTGGCAAACTCCTCAGCCGCTCCTCCTCCTCTCGGTCCAAACGGGCATCCCTCTCCTCCTCAGTCTCAACAGGGCCCCGCCCAACATCCGCGTTTGTGCGCACATCCTGCGGTGAGCCACATCGACGTCCGTTGACTCTCAAATCTGCCAAGCTCCCACCAAGCCCTATGTCCTCGAAGTCCTGTGTGCGGAGCACCGACGGCGAGGGGGGGCGGATACGGGCGTCGGAAGGAGTCCTCTCCCCTCCACGATCCTCGCCGTCATGTGTCCGGTCTCTACCTGCTGCCGACGCCAACCTCTTCGAACGCCTGAGTGGCTCCCCCTCGAGCTGTGCAGAGATCGGATGATGGGAGGGAGAGAAGCGACGATTGCAAAGGGGTTCCTGCTCATCCTCGGCCTCCTCCTCGGCCTCGCTGTCGCTCCTAACCTCCCAACGCCTGCCTGTCTGCCGAAGACCTCCCCGTGGCTGCTGCTCCCCCGAGTCGTCCACGCGAACCTCCGTATGCGAATGTCCTCCATGACCACCGCCGGCTCTGCTGCTGCCACTCGCCGGTGCGGTTAACGACACAACACCAGTGATAATTGATGTGAATGAATCTGTGCCGTCACGACCCCCACCGTAAGTGAAGTACACTCGCTCAGCCGTCGGGCCGCGACTCAGCGGCGTGTCATCATCGTCAAGCCAGTCGTTGTCGATGTCATCGTCTGCCGCAGCAGCGTCCACATCATCCCCACCCTCCGGCCACGGTCGCAGCTCTGTCGCTCTGCTGCCGAACACGTCCCGAACCAAACGGGCTCTGGACGGTCGGCTGTCACGGAAAGCGACAATCTTCCGCTGGATCTCCTGCTCGGGAACACAACCATCAGGTCGCGCTCCCCACACCTCGGGCTCCACATCTCCCTCCTCATCCTCCTCCTCTGCCGCCGTCCCCCCCTGACCGCTCCCCATAACCCATGGCAACACGTAGCCACCACCCTACCGTGCGCACGAGGCCAGTTTGAGATTGGTGGCAATCTCAACCAGCTGTGCAAGCTTGGCGAACCCAAGCTTGCAGCGCCTTGCCGTGCTGACGCACTCGTGCTCCGCCCAGTTCCTCTCCGCTGGCGAGGCAAACGTCCACAAGTGCATGACACGGATGGCGATGATGCGCAACTCCGGGTGGGCACGTCCATGCTTGAACCACCACGCTGCACATCGCTCGGTCTCGCTGTCCCCCCTGCAATCTGCCGCCTCGGCATCGGAGAGCTCACGATCTCCCCAATCCCCTCGCCTCGAGTGGAACGCCCTCATCTGGTCCCTCACGGTCCTGTACAATAACCCGACTGGATCGCCGCCGGTCTGCGCCAGGAGAAATCTGTCGCACTCCTCGACCACAAGGCGGTCGTCGGCGGTCGTCTGCAGCGAATGGTAATACGTGAGGGACCGTCGGCGAGGGTTGAGGAGGTGAGCCGCGGCATGTGCGGGCTCTAGCATGTGGAGGTTGCGGATGGCAACCTCACGCACGCACGGCTCGATCATGTCCGTCGGCGCATCGACCTTCCTCATCAACTGCAGCAGATGCTGACTCCACTCGTAAACGACGAACATCATCATCCCACCTCTATCCATCCTGCGCAATAGCTGGTGGACGGACGACATGACTAGGATGGCGTAATGGACACGCTGCCAAAACTCTTCGTCCCGGATCTGCTGCTGCACCCACTGCGCCTGAGATACCTGGGCGCGATCCCATGGGATGCGTGCCCAAGCGTCCCCGTGCAACATGCTCTCCAACGCGTCTCGTCGGCCTTTGAGACACGTCAGCATCAGGAAAACCGATGCAAACCGTGTCTCAACGGGCTCGACGAGCTGAACGCGAGGGCTCACCTTCCTAAACAGGGCGTGAGCAGTGCCGTGCGATTTAATAAATCGCACAAGCGCTCGAGCGCGGATGACGGTCTCCTTGACCCACACCACTCGCGTCCCGATATCTGACAACATCAAGTTGCAGACATGGGTGGAGCAGGGGAGCCAAGTGATCCTCCTGATGTCAGGCTCGGGGTTTGTGGCGAACCTGCGCGCTGCCGCCGTATAGTTACTGGCGGAGTCTGTGCAGAAGCCTATCACGTCCTTTGCAGGAAAGGACAAGATGATGGCCCGCCACCTATGGTACACGACGTCCGCCGTGTCTCGGACCGACCCGTCACGTGCGACGGTGGCGTACAGCAGGGCACCATTGGCGCCCCCGGCCATGAAGTTCACGAGCGGCTTGCCGCTGCACGACACAACAGGGCAAAGGTATTGCATGTCGGCCGTTTTCGCACCTTCCACAGTGAATGTATGCATATGGGATGGGAATGATCGAGCACGAAACTCGTCTTGATTAGGATACTGTCCGGACGGGCCGATGACAGGGGCAATGTTGTTGGGATTTTGTCCGAGAATGCAAAGAGTGTTTAGATCTGTTGATGTTGTGGTTACACCCCGCACATGCCATCGGCCTTATGCTGCACAACATATGCAGCATACCCTCATAGAATAATGAGGGATTCTGAAGCCACATGCGATCGGTACACGTGAACAGTGGCCGCGTCTCACCACACATGAGCTTTTGTCTCTCTCTGAACTTTCCTTCAAAATCTTCGTTGTTAGGAGTTTTTGATTCTGCCTTTCTGATTGGATGGATAGGTTGTGTGTTTTTTTTATTAGTATCGATTCTGGGCCTACGATGAATGATTGAGGATATCTTTGGCGCCTGACTGATTGCCATGTGGACTGGCGGGCTCAACCCGACTAGGCGCCGGCCTCCCGTATCCCCACCTCGCCCCTTTCCGTATAACGAGGAAAGGACGCGTGTGTGTGAGTGGGACGTACGAGAGGCTGTCGCAAAGATCGGTGGGTGATTTTATTTCCCTCCTGAAAATCGGTGTGCTGGGTTTGTCATTATCGATACGCATTTTCCGCCATATTCGTTGCTATTACCGTTTAACGAGTTGATCGTCATCCCGTGGTCGGCAGTGGCGCCCCATTGGCCTAAGACGCCGTCTAGTGATTGCCAACGCTTCGATCACTACCAATCAAAGGGCTTCCACTACCGAGTACGGAATGAGGACGAGCATAAGGAAAGGGCCACGCGATTAAGACCGTCTATGTCAGATTCGGAATTGTGCAATGAGCGGCGTCGGGAGTTAGTCCGAAAACGGGATACTAAGTACGTGCCCGCTCCCTTTCACCCCAAACGAAGAGCCGCGGCTCGGTGGGAGGTTCGACAGTATTTTCTGGATTGAATTCGAACTTCCCCGCGTCACGAATCCCGCGCGCGCGCTATTTTGTAACCCGCGTTGCAACCGACCGGCTCTCTTACTTCATCAGACCAACACGGGGGATTTCAGTTCCGTCTGTGTCCCCACACTCACTTTCCCAAAAATCCTTGGCACACCCCATCTTGCTGTTTTTCAGAGCCTTTTTTCCGCACTCTTAATACTCCGAACGGAAGACAGCACAGGGCGTGAGGTTAGCGCATCACATACCACACAGAACACCACACAGACACGACAATTCTCTCACACCTCGCTCTCGCCAATCAGCACAAATCCTTACCACTGGTACTCCCTCCCATCCACCTACACGGGCCACATCACCCGGCGGTTAACGAGTGCTTCCCCAGCAGCTAAGTGGATATGCACATCTAGCTCCCCAGCCGCTGAGGTTCCAGGATGGCACTAGCCATCCCAGCATGAGCCCGACGTCCTCCACTGTTCTTATGGGGGCCTTATTGGAGGCAGGGTTCCACTGGGTTCTTCCGGGGACCTTAACCTTGGTCCCC